TTATAGTTCTAGATTTTGATATTTATCATCATTTATTTACTGTATTTCGGCTACTACGTCATTTCATTGTTGTTCATACTCTTTTCTTTTAGGCTTTACACTACTCTTTTTATTAGTTGTTTTGTTTTCGTCATTGATATCTACTTCTTTATACCTAAAATCATTGTATTTTAGTTGAAGATCTTTTAGAAATAACATTTCCTATCTCTCTAGAGGTATAACGAGACTTACATATATTTTATTCTGTTTAAATCTTATTTGTTGGGATACTATTAACCATATTTTTAATATAATATTTATTATAGAATAATTAATTATTTATTTAGTTTTAATTAAAAAAAAATAATAGATCATATGTTCGTTTATGGAGTATGTTTACTTATATAATAGATGATTTTTGTGTAGTGTTTTAGCTTATACACAGAGAATTAAATAATTGATTCTTATAATATCTTGATTATGAAAACAATATAGTTTCAACTTTGTGTGCTAGTCATTTTGTATGTATTGAACGAGACCGAGTAGAGATAGACTAGCAAAAACATATTCTCTAAATTGTTAAATGTACTTGTATTCTTAATCCTAATGTAACTATTATGATTTGTATTTAAGTTTTCATCGTGTCAAACCTTACATGCAGATTTTCTGAATCCGACATATGAATTGTCATTAAGGGGGGTCAATGATTGTAGTAAAAAATATAATTATAAAGTTAGTACTTATCTATATATTTATTAAACTAAAGTTTGACCTTTATATACAACGCAATCCTTCGTCGTTTGACACCCCTTTTGCTAAGGGTGGATCCGCCCCTGATTCATATAAACAATATAATTCTGATATATTTTTGTTGTGCATATAGTTTCTCAACATTACATATATTCTATTCTTCTTAAATCTTATTTATGAAATTCCACCGTATATACTATTATTGTTGATGTATTATAAAAGCATAAAACCTAAAAATTATACAGAAGTAGAATATTGAATCTCCCACCAAATTTTTTTTGATGAAACTGAAAGATGTCGGTGAAGTGAGAAAAGATACCAAAAGTCAAGAAATCCGGCAATATTGTCAACACACGCTGACATAAAGTAAACAAAAAATCTCATTTTCAAATCACACAATTTTTCTTATATTAATATAGTACTAGTACTACTCACTCCGTTTCATTTTAAATCCTATATATAAAGTATTTTTAAAAAAATATAAACAATATAAATATATACGATACAAAATTCTGTTTGTTAATACAATTATATATCATATACAATACAAATCAATTATATTCAGACAATTATATTTATATTTGTATCAACTATATATGTATTTTGTATCGATTGTATTTGTGATATAATGAAAACTACTCATCCTCTTTCCCCCTCCCTCGATGTCGCTCGCCTCTCTCCTCTCTCTCGATCTCGCTCGTCTCTCTCCTCCTATACAAATCAGTTATATCAATTGAATTCGTGATACAACATGATACAACCTGATACAACATGTATTCAACCTCTCTCACCTCTCTCTTCTCTCCTCTAGTTTCGTTTGTCTCTCTCCTCCCCCTAACATGTAGGTATAATTCGTAATTAAGTAAATTTTAGTTATAAATCTCTAATTAAGTCCAAACTATATTATTTTTTAAAGTTTCCTTTTTTTACCGGTCTATTTCAATAAATTTGAAAATTTTCTTTATTTTTCCTTCATACTATTTTTTTAATATTAAATAATAATATAAAATAATAAACTTAAATTCTGAGTTTTAAACTAGTATTAATAAGGTTGATTTAATTAAATACATCTTAAATAAAAATTTAAAATCATATCAAGTCAATATAAACCAAGTAATATAAAACGCAGAGAATACTTATTTATTTTTTCTTTGTCTCTTCTTTCTTATGGTATTTTTTGTGTCAATTTATTTTGCAGTCTTTTCTCTTTAGTTAATTTAGAAAAATATTTTTATATTTAATAATAACTTAATTTCAAATATTTTATTTAATGTTGATAAAATTATTCATAATTATACAAATAACTATTTTTTGTTCTACATCGTAATATATATATATTTTTAAAATCCTTTCATTCTTCAACTTCGTACCCAATCAAAACATTTCGACAGAGGGGAATACTATTTGTTAGTGACGCTAGTAACTAGTTGAATTAACTGTTCTTGAATTGTTAATCAATTATAGATAGCCTTTTTATAGGTGAAATTCTAATTCTCTGTTCTAATTTATTTATCTTACTTCATTTTTAGTTCGGTTAAGAAAGTGATTTTTTTAATTTTAATTTTTCACATTACATGTTTAAAGTCTCACATGATCAAAAGATATTTTGGTACATTCTAATTTCTATATATCTTAAGTGTAAAATCATAAGATTCAAAAGTTCTCTATTTTCTTAAATTCTATAGTTAATTTCAATTTTTCACATGACATGTCTAAAACCACAAGATTAAAAGATATTTTGGTACATTCTACACATCCTTAGTTTAAAATCACAAAATTCAATTTTTTTCCCTACTTTCTTAAATTCTGTGCTAAATTAGAATTAACAAACACCATTAAAGGATGTGACGTAATAAATACGTCTGTTTCTTTCTTAATCAAATGTGTTGGATTCGAGTTCTCGATAAAGAAAAATCTTTGAGAAAGAGAACTACCCCCTCCCAACAGGCCCCCCTACCCAAAGCAAATCTTAATTAGTTGGACTACAATATAAAAATCCAATAAAAAATTAATCAAACAAATTTATACAAAAAATAAATAATTAGTAGATGTTAACACCAATCTTAAAGTTCTTTGCAATTTCAGAATGTCACTATATATGTGTTAAATATTTATAATTATCATCTTGAATCAACTAAAATGAATGCAATAGCGTAAATAAAAGGAGGATGAGTGTGTGATAGAACTTTTATGATATTGGCCACTTTAAAATAACTGTATTTTGTCAGTAAAAAATAGTAAAATTAATAAACTTGAAAAATAAAGTAAATTGTATACCATAACAGATATATTAATAATGAATAAAAGTCTTGACACTAATAATCTACATATTTTAATTTAATTAATCCTGGTGCTAATTATCATCTTTTAGTCTTGTACCAAGCAAAATTGTATATAAAGAAAACAAAAGAAAGAAAGTATTTTCACTATTTATTTTTACTTATTCATAATTGATTTTTTGAACCCTTAAAAATAGTAATAAATAAAGTACATATATTAACATAATATTTATATTAATTGATAAAATAGTCTTAATGAGCTTAATTAGGAAGTAATTTAAGTAATAAGTAGTTAAAATTAAGGGTAAAATAAGAAGACTATTTTGTCCCTAACGTATTTGAAATTGTTCAAAAATGTCCCCCTACCCTCCTTCCACTTATGGTATAAAAAATACCCTTAACCTATTAAAAATAGTTCAAATTTATCCCTCTTTCTACCTATTGGATCGATAACGCCCTTAACATATTATAAATAAGTCAAAAATCCTTCCTACTGTCAATATATACACCACTAATCTTTTGTATCGTACTTTGCCAATTATTTAGTTTCCGGCTGATTTGTAAAATTTATTTTGAAAAGTTCTTGGTTGTTTGTATTACCTAATAGAAGTATTTTCTTTAAATAAATAAAATACATGAACTAATGTGTGAATTAACCTAGATGTATGTTCTTTAATAATATTTTATTATGTGTGTGTGTCCAAAAAAAAAAAAAATTTTGTTGAGATTTTGTTTTAGAAAGAATGTAAATACAACATCACTTAATATAAATTATACAAAAATTTTCAACAGTTTTAGAAAAACTTTAACGGTTAAGTGATGAAAAAAAAGATATATAACTAAGATGCTAATTAATAGTGAATTAAAAAGTTGAGACAATTTATTCGAATTTGAAGGCTAAAAAGCTTTTTTTTTTATATCATAATAATGTTATATTTATAAATTCTAATAAGATATTTTAAGATCGCGTGAAGCATGGACATATTAATTAGTATTTAATAATTGATAGATACTAATTTAGGTAGGAGGGGGTCGGGGGGGGGGGGGAGGATTTGAACCGTTTTTAATAGGTTAAGCACATTTTTTAACATCTAATTCATGAAAAGAAGAATATTTTTGAATCATTCCTAATACGTTAAAGGACTTCTTGAACCCTTTTCGGTTTATTTTAATAGAATAACAATAACATACCCAATGAGGTCCCATACATAGGGTCTGGGAGGGTAGAGTTTATACAAACCTTGTCACTACCACATGGAGGTAGAGATTTCTTTTCGAAATCTCTCATGGCTCAAATACAACAAATCCAAGTACAACGAAGAAAACGAATGCAGAAATCATAGCAACTCAACAGTGCAAACTCCAACACCTTCAAGATAAAAAAACAAAAACAACAAAATAATGTGATAATCAAAACACAATAAACAATGGACTATTATATATATAAAAACAAGAACTATAATAATACAATTAATATAACGACAAACACTAATAAAGTCTAAACCCTCAAAACGCAAAATAACCCTCCATTAACCTTCTACACTAGTACATATCCTCGTATCTAAGTATCATAAACGTGTGACATTGCCTTGGATGAATAAAATAACAATTTTTCATGTTCAATATTTTTCAAAACTTATAGTGTGAACTCATTCCATTATGCTTTTCAATATTCCAAGTTCTCCACTTCTTAGAAACACACATCATTCAAACACTATGTAAGTCCTTTTCATACTAAACTTGTTGAAATAGTCTTGTTTTTTCAACTTGATGTTCCTATCATCATCCTTCTCTTCAATCTTGCAAAAGATAAACAACAATAGAAAAGTCTTTTTCATCCTTAATTTCTTCTTCTTTTCATCAACCCCCTTTTTCAATCTTACAAAAATAAACAACAAAAAAAAAATGTCCCTATCAACCATTTTTTGAAAAACCATTTTAGCTAGTGACTTAAACTTTCTATCTCATTTTCTTGAAAACTCAAAAATCAATATGGCTAAAAATCCAAAAGACACAACTTCAACTAAGTGTTTTTCAAGCATTTTTCAAAGGCTTATTTGTGGTGGAAGTCTACCAACACACCCTTGTGATCTATTTAAAGAACCAAAGAGAACAACTTCATATGAGGCAGCAAATAGTAACAAATTAGTTGGAGCAGCATCCAATAGTCCAGGAATTGTGGCAAGGCTAATGGGATTAGAGTCATTACCTAAAGAAGAAGTTGAAAAAAGTAATTTTGGTTCATTTTCAAGAAGCAAATCAGTTAATTCACTAGATTACTTGATGCAGTTTGATCTAACTCAACAATTTCATCATAGAAGAGTTAGAACATCTGTATCTTTTCGCGATATCCCGAATCTTGATCATCAAGAGTTCAAGTCTGAGTATTTAGTGTTCTGCTTCAATGAGAATCAAGAAATGATGAAGCCAAAGAAAAAGAGACAAAATGTTGAGAAGAAAGAAGTTAGTGGAAAACAAAACAGGATAATTGGTAATAAGGTGAAAAAACAAGTGAAGTTTGAGGATTATCCTACAAAAATGTGTGTTGAATCTAAGAAGAAGAGAAAGAGCAAATGTGTAGTGTCTACCAAGATTCAACCTTTATTTAATAATTCAGCAGATTTAAGTCCAATTCATCTTCAACAAGCTACAGCTACTATACCTGCAGGTGTGTTTCATAAAAAGTGACTCTTTTAAGTTTCTTACTCTTTTATTTAAGCATCGTTAGTTGTTTACTGTGTTTCGATCATCGCACTATTTGTTGAAAGGCTTTCCACTGTTTTTCGTGTTAGTTGCTATGTTTTCTACACTATTTTCTTCTTCTTTGTACTTGGTCTTTCGGAAACAGTCTTTCTACCTTCATGAGGTGGTGGTAAGGTTTGCGTATACTCTAGCCTCTCCAGAGCCCCACTTATGGAATTTTCCTTGAGTATGTTGTTGTTTAAAAAAGAGGAAAAGGACAAATATACTCCCAAACTGATGTAAATGGTATGCATATACCCTCTGTCATGCTTTTGGAACATTGGTACTCTGCCGTCTAAAAACTAGAGCATATATGCCCTTTAGTCTAACGCAAAACTAAATATGGACACATGATGCAATCTTATCCGTCGATCCGATATTTAATAAATGTTGGGTCGGTGAATAAGATTATGACATGTGTATGTCCGTTAGTATAAAAAATATATATGCTCTAGTTTTTGGACTGCAGGAGCACCAATGTCCCAAAAGTAAGACGAAGGGTATATACATACCATTTACGATAGTTCTAGGTTATTTGTTCTTTTTCCCTTTAAAAAAAATGACCTGTTGATACTTTAGATGAAATTTAGATGAAAAGAAAACCAAGAATGACATGAAAGGTGAGACAACTTTCAAACTTTCATGTTCAGTTGAGAAAAAAATATCAGCCAAAAGATATACTTGATTGACTTAGTCAATCAATCAACAAGATATAAGACAATTTTAAATAGAGCTTTTATGTGTTCTGTTTTAGAAAAGATTGATCATTTGTAGTAGAGGGTCAACTTAAATTTACCTAATTGTGTAAAACAGTTAACATTGTAAATGGAATGAACTTAGATTATAATAAACTGATTAATTAGCATCTTGAGGATTGCCTTAATGACTTAACTTATATATACCTACTTGTAAATAAAGTTTTTACATTATAGTTTAATTTTACATGTTGTAGTAAGTTATGTCCACTTGTAAGTATAGTTATCTTTTAGGTGACTCGATAATGTTCATTCTTTACCTTTGAAATCATTATAAACTTGTTTTGTATTATATTCAAAAGGGAAAATGCAGCTAAATTCAAGAAAGTCTCCAGCTGAACATGCAATCAAAAGCAAAGTGGAGAAACAAAAGGAGATTAGTAAAGAGACAGATCATTACATAAAAGTGGTTGGAGAAATTTGCAGATTAACAGAAGAAGAGTTAAATGAGTCACATTGGATAACAACAATTAGAACTGGAGAAAACATCAGCTTTGAAGATTTATGCCAACAATTTGGACAAGAAGTTCTTCAACTGTTAATAGATCAACTAGTCGATGAACTCGTAATCTTTGCACAATGAACATATTCATGTTTTAAAGACATGTACTTTGATCCCATCTTTGAAAGAGTGGTTTTGTTCTGTCAATACAGCTTATCGAGTTATCAAGTTTAACTATCTTCTGTTAAGAGTTTGAATTGTTCGTTTAAATGGTATCTTGCTCGTTATATTCTGCTTATAATCGTGTGGAGACCTAACTATACTAGTGATAAGGAAAGGAGGAGTTGCATTCCAATTACTGTTCAATGCTCGTCTATTAATGGTTTGTTCTGCTTGAGTCTTGACCCCTTAGGAGTGAATCTTTCTCATTGGTTTGAGACATGTCTTTGGAATCCTACTATCAATGAGTTAAGACGGCTTCCCAATTCTCCACTTAATTTAAGTGAGGATAGGAGTGAGTGGGAACCCTTTTATGGATTTGGTTACGACTCAACCAATGATGATTATATAGTAGTGAGACTCATCACAAGGTTTACTCGATTTTCAGACCAAGCGCGTACCCTATCAAAGTCGAACTCTACTCATTGAAACATGATTCTTGGAGGCTTATTCAACCATTCCCTTACCATGTTTTTATCCATGGAGGAACTTATTTAAACTGTGAATTTGTAAATAATAGATTCCATTGGATGGTCTATTGTGAATCAACTAAATGGATGATTGTGTCACTAGATTTATCAAACGATGAATACAGAGATATACCATTACCTAACCATAGATACGAGCTAAATGGTCATGATATAGTTGTTCTAAATGGTCTACTTTGTATGTTCATCTATTACTATGAACATTCTTTTCTTTTGATTTGTGGACAATGAATGAAAGAGTATGGAATCGAAGAATCTTGGATACTAACACTCTCTATCTCTCGCGATGATGATATTTTGGTTATTATGGCAACATTCATATTGATTTGGGTATTACGACATTATTTTCGTGTCTGGTCCCTTTGTACTTGTTTGAAAATGGTGATGTTTTGTTCGAGGCAAGGACTTAAACAGATGGCTTGAAGAAACAGAGAATTATCATTTATAAGAAAGACAAGGAAGTTTTCAAGCCTTGGTTTGATAGTCAAACAAGAGCTAGAGATACAGGATGAAGTTTTATTTATACAGAGTCCTTAATTTTACCCAATCGATACATGACACGTGCTGCTTCGAGTATCACCAAACTTTTAAATCAAGTGTCCAGGGATAGGCTTATTCAGTATGTTTCTTCTTAGATACTTAATTCTATGCATGTATTCAACTGTTACTAGATGAGCTTGTCATGTAATCTTTGCACAATGAAAAGTTTTCATGTTTTAAAGATATGTACTTTAATCCCACTTTTGAAAGAGTGGTTTTGTTATGTCAGTACAACTTATCGAGTTATCAAGGAAATATCTTTGAATCGTTCATTTACTCTAAGTCTTATTACCGACACGACGGATTGCAATTTGAAAACACCTCTATTGGCGATAAGAGATCTGATTCAAATCATTCTTGACTCTACAGATGAGACTCGCTTATTTGAACTGAATGAACAGTCTTTCACCACCAAGCAAAATAGTCGACCTTTGTCTACCTATTATAACAAACTCGTTGCAATTTTCCAGGAAATTGACCACCGAACAGCTTCACAAGAGAGATCAGTGAAAGGGATTGTACATTTACATTCCATGGTGGCCAGGCTTCGAGTTCACATATTTCTGAGTGGACTTGATCTGGAATTTGATCAAGTTTGTGGTGAGATTTTGCGAAAAGATCCTAAATTGGATTTGGAAAGTTGTTATGCGTATGTAAGGAGAGAAGCACAAAAAAGACAAATCATGGGAACTTCTAGACCAGTCCTTGAAAGTTCAACCATGTTGGTTCAACGTGATACACAAATAACTCTGTTTGCAATCATTGTGGTGAAAAAGGGCATACCAAACAGCGCTGCTATGATATTATTGGATATCTGTAATGGTGAGATTTTTTTTAAAAAAAAACCACGGAAGAACTTGATTGGCAAAGAGGCAATAGCCACACAATGGAAACAATCACAACCTACTGCCAATGTGGCTCAACCAGGTAACTTTGGTAAGGTTGATGTTTTTTCTGTCGCTTCCAAGAAAAATACATGGATTATTGCCACTGTAAGCCAAATGCACAGTATTAGTTGTAAAACACGCAATGTGTCATGTCAGCTGTTTAGAAGTTACATAGCTTCAGGTTGAATGAAATCTTTTGACAAATTTAAGAGCCGTCAACATAAATAAAGCATGTAAATGAAACAATTTTGCTTGCAACATGAAAACAGAACAGAACAGAAACCAAAAATAAGAAAGTGGTTGAAAGGATTTCTTGTTCGTGTTAGTTTTATTTATTTATGATAGAATTCCTTCCCTCCTTCACTTAGACAATCTTATTGCCTAATTATTTTAGGATTCCTTCTCCTTATTATGTGGCTATACAATTAAAATATTATAATGAAATAAAATAGTAATTTGAAAAATAGTAAATAAAATAATGGTATAATGATAAAAGAAAAATGGCGAAAATATGATTTTGTCTAAAGAAACGTATTTTAATGAAGGACAAAAGGTTCAAACAACGTGCTTTTAATATAGTATAGATAGATAGATATATATTGAGAAAAATATATTAATTTGTTTATAGCAATTATTTAAGAGTTATCCTAGTTCAATTGTGACATGAGAGCCGTGTTGCACTTAGATAGCCAAAATATCCTAAAACTTGTTCTAGTCAAATTGCACTTTATAGAAACTTATTATAAGAACATATTTTGATTCGTTATTTGTAAACCAAACTATTTCTTAACAATGAATTTTCCCAAGGAAATCTTAGAGGAAATTCTGTCGAGGCTTCCGGTAAAATCTCTCTTTCGTTTTATGTGCGTTTCCAACTTATTTAATTGTATAATATCATGTGATTCCAATTCCACAACAAACATGTCGAAAATTGTACTAGGAATTTGGAATCTAAAAGACTGTTTGCTCATGTTTATTCTAATGTCACGGCATCTTGCTCATTATATCATGCTTATTACAACGATATAATCGCGTGGAGACCTAACTATACTAGCGATAAGGAAAATAGGAGTTGCATTCCAATTACTACTCATTGCCCGTCTGTTAATGGATTGTTTTGCTTGAGTCTTGACCAACTATGCGCGAGTGTTGACCAACGATACACGAGTTTTGAGCCACTATGCTTGAGTCTTTCCAATTGGTTTGAGATATGTCTTTGGAATCCTACTATCAATGAGTTAAGACGGCTTCCTAATTCAACATGTCACGTGGAAAGGAGTGGTTGGGAACCCTTTTATGGATTTGGTTACGACTCAACCAATGATGATTATGTCACGCCCCGAGCCTACACCCTGGAAGTGGTTGGCACTCGAGAACCATTGCTGGCCCCAAGCGAACCCTTGGCCTGACTTACTTACTTAGTGGAAGACTTAGACATAAGAAAGAGAATCCAAATACAAGATAACTCAACATGTCTCAAACTGAACTCATAATGTTTTGAAAATAAACATTTAACTTAGCCAAAATGGCAACTCAAATCTGAACATAAGTCAATAACAAAATGATGACGAATGAACTAACATCTGACTGACTATCTATGAAACCTCTAAAATAACTGAGATGGATGTCGGGACAAGCCCACGACATCCGATCCTAATGAACTATCTAATACTAAAAGTAAACAAAAGGGATCCTCCGAAATGTAAAGAGGCTCACCAACAGACTCTGAACTGCTCACTGGATCAACAATGCGTTGGATGCCGATCCTAGTTACCTGCGCCTGCATCATAATACGATGTAGGCCAACTGGCATCAATACATTGAATGTACGAGTATGTGAGTTGGAATGCTAAACACAACATAGGCTTGAAAAGAATTTGAAAGGAATTGAAGAACTTACCTGGCTCAACTCAACTCAACATAACTGAACTCATTTCAACATAAAGTAGTTTAAAACAAGTGCAATATAAAGAAAAGTTGTTTGAAACATGATGTCAACTCTGTGTGTATGCAAAGATACAAATAACTCTGAGATGTATATAAAAATACAAATAAACTGATGTATATAAAAATACAAAGTACTGCTGTGGGAGTTTCTCTAACCGACAACCATCACATAAAAGCTATTGTGATGATACAACGATCTCCCTCACGCTGCCAGTGCATCATATACCTTGCCAGGGGTATAGGACCTAAATTACTAAGTGGATCCACTAGTCTATGCGAAAATGATTCATCTAAAAGTATGACCCTTTTCTACCCATGATGACTACATGGTGTATGGAGACGTGAGTTATCTGAACTCAAGTTCGTCCCCATATCGGTGCTCAATACTACTCCCAAAATATAATATTATTAGCTCTTATGTTTGAAAACATACTTCTTTCTGTGATTTGACATAATTTCTCAAAAACTTAGCTCAAAGGCTATCTTGGAAATCAAAGTTGCCTCTCTTGCTTCATTTAGAAAGTGATTACTCTTTTCTGAAAACTAGCCGGAAGGCTCCTTGGAAATCGAGGTTTCCTTTCTTGTTTAAATGTGAAAACATTTTAAACTCTTTAGGAATACATAGTTCCCATATACTTTTGAAGAAAAGAACTTCAACTTTACTCTTTACTGAACTCAAAACTTAAGTCTTAAAACAAAGTTAAAACGACTGCAAAAGACTTTTGGAAAACTTTATGAACTTCTCTTAACTTGACTCTTGACTTCTCTTGACTTTGATCCTAACTTTCCTTGAATTGGATTATGGATTCAAGGTTCATGATCTCATGTTTATGGAGGATCTCAATAACAATCTAGCAATTCGATAATTAGGAATAGAACTTTTAAAAGAAACACTAATCAAGAACTCAAAATCAACTTATCTCAAGAATACTCAAATCTAGGGAAAGAATCCTAGATTTCTCTTTTACTGATTTGAAAGTAGATGTAGTGTGTGAGGACGAACTAGTCCAACACTATGATAGCCTTACATACTTGAAAAAAACAAGGTTTTTGAAGAATCTTGAAG